GTGATATAATTAAACAAGAATGAAACTGCCCCGTTTCTGGCAGAGAAACTACAAAATAAGCATTTCTTTTCAACCATTTCCAGCATCACAATTTCTTGGCCTTTATTTCTTATTCAGGTTGATAAGGTATTGCTCTTAAGTAGGGTAGCTGATGACAGCAAACCATTTCCCCGCGAGTCCCACATCATTAGTTCTCTTAAACTGCTGTTCCACTGCAAATCCTGTGGCACTTTCTGTAGCTAAATATTTAAAGTAAAACAGAGCTGCTGTGCAGCACGATATGATTACTGATGGTCAGGCAGAAGGTTTAGAATAACAGGAACCACAGAAAAACAGATCTATAATTTAGGGATGACGATTTCTAAAGTGAAGCTAATGGGTCCAGAGCAGTTTTGATGCACTGTTTGAGCTGCTTTTATGGATAGAATCTGTAGAAATGAGTGATTCCATGCTAGTTAGGCACTCTGCATGAATTTAAAACTACATAGCTGTAAGGATGGGAGAGCAGGAAAGACTAAGCAGCCACTTTCATTATGGGAGTAAAACAAAATATTGGAGGACAAAGAGATGCTGTACGATGCCAAAGGTAGACAGAGGACAAGATAAATATAAATTAATATTTTGTGAGATTGGCTGCTCAGAGAAAAGCATTTGCTGTTACAACATCAGCGATTTGGTGTAAATGCTTATAGCAGCAAAGTGTTTCATGTGATTTTGGAAGGACAGTGTAATGCTTAGCGAGGAAAGGAAAATAACAGTCTGTTCTACGGTGTGTTTATGTTGGTTGGGTGTTACCATCACTACAGGAGCACTTAAAAATCTGAAGATTGACAAATTCCACTGCTGTTGTCTCAAGAGAGGCATTATTTATAGAAAGTCATACATCTATATTCATTACCATATGTGCAAAGGCAACGGTTATTTTGCACGTGGAGTAAAATTGTTTCTTCCTTCCCCATCCTAAATTTGGCCATTTCCTATTGTGAATGTTCATTCATTTTTCTGTTGCTAAGAGCAGGACCTTCCTCAGATGAGGTGTCAGGAGGAAAACCCATCAGAACAGACATCAGCATCCCTGAGTCCCTGTCCTGTGTGATCCCTGTCCTGAGCTCCAGCCCTAATGTGCATCCTCCACAACTTGTGAATTGAGGGTGATGAGGTCCTCCAGACTCCCTGGGGTGCAATTGAGGATGAGTTCTCAGATAACAGCAAGCCAGAGGACAAGACCATTGCTGAGGATGAGAATCGTTATCCCATCCTAACTCTGCTTTGAAAGGCAGAGATGGAAATCCTTTTTTTTTGCAAATAATCAGAAAATGGAAGCAGTGTTTAAGGCATTACACTCCTGCTGGTAGAAAGAAGGCATACAGAGTTACGACTAGGTCAAGAAATTCCCATTCACCACTTTATGTCACTGTTTGGGATTTGTTTGAATTAAGGGAGCCAACCAACCTTCGATCACTGAAAGAGGTGTTCACACCACGGTCCCAAATATCAGAACTGTTTTCTGTGTTTCTTGTTTGTTTGGACATCCCCTGATTCACTTCGTAAGTCCCTGCACATTTTTTCTTTTTTTCCTCTCATAGTGTTCATACAAAACCAAAGAGAAATGTAATGGGGCATTTCCACCTGCAAGTTGGCAGTAATAACCAGTATCATGGGCTGAGCAACAGTTACACAGCAGGCTTTAGAGCTTAGGTGTTACACTTTGGTTCATAGGCACAGTACATCTTCCTGACACACAGGAGCAGCAAATCTCAGGTGCTTTTCATCAGTTCCAACATGTTGCTGGCTGCTTTTTCTGCAGGAGGCAGAGCTGGTTGGGATTCTGCAGTGGTGTTTCTTCCTCTGGAGGAATGCTCTCCTCCAATGAGTGCAGGAAGGTTGTTTGTGCTGGCTTTTGTTTGTGAACTTGTTAGGATTTCCCATCCTGCTGTCAGATTGCTGACAGGTCTTGCAGCTTTAAGGGCTCACACCTTACCAAGGGAAAAACATGCAGAGAAGCAAGCAGAATATTCTGCTGCTGATGGCCGGGAGGAGATGTGCTGTTTAAGTGAAACAAAAGCGTTTGGTGTTGACAAAAAACAGGAGCAAACAGCGATAGCCTTGGTTGAGGGAGGTGTTATTATTTTGGCCTGCTGTTTTCAGAACTCTCCACCAAGTTGTGTCAGTAGTTCAACCAGTTTAAGAGAAACAGACCTGTTAGTGTACTGCTGGAATTGGGTGCTTCAGAAGGAAGAGAAACGTGTCCAGCAGCTCCTGATAGCACAAGCAGATAGCAAATATTAAGCTCCTAAGCATTCATTCACGACTTGTTGATTTCATGGGTGTTGCAAGGTTGTATTTTCAGGGTTCCCTTTTGAATCACAAAAAAAAAGCTTTGTTAAGTACAGATTCTTAAGAGTGGAAGGTAAGATTTTCAGGGAGCAAAAAATTCTGACAGTTATGTGAACTGGTGATGCTGCTTTCACTGCTTGCTTGCAGTGATTCGATTTGCTAGTCAAAGAATTTGCTGCTAATCATCTTAAGAGGGCAGCCTAGAGCCTGGGAACAGAACTGACTTGTGCTCACACTGCTGCTTTATGAATAGATCCTGCAGTTAGAACTTGCCTAAAAAAGAAGGGACAAACTGCAATGGAAGGTACAGCTTGCATTCACACAGCAGTGGCAATGAAGAGGGGTTCAGTGCTCATGGAGCAGAGTTGTGAGGGCACATAGATGGGCTGCCTTGGATGGTACAACTGTTTTGCTGATACTGAACGGTCTATCCTTTCTTTTCAAAGGGCAAGAACAGGATTTTAAAAGCATTAAAGTGTTTTTATAACTTCAGTCTTATTCTTCTCATAGGAATCATATTAGAAAGTTTGGAATCACATCTTTATTTTCAGCAGCTCAAATTCAGTGAGCCCCATTATTTGCTTACCAGAAGACGAGCATCTTTCATTCTGAGGCCAGCAACGTCAGTACTCAGCATTTTACCCAAATAACGTGCAAAATGAAAAGGGCAAAAACATGAAGAGTTGTCTTTAGAGGCAGTGCAGGTATCAGAAATGTCAGGGTCCCTTCCATCATACAGTTCAAGCCATTAGAATTGCAAGAGCAAAACCTTTGCCAGGTGTAATTTTGGGTAGGCTAAACCAGGACAACACAATGGTTGGTATCCAAGAGTAAAGCTCAGCTTTACAGTACTTTATGGCACACCTTAAACAACAACAAAAGAGGCTGACAAAAACTGGAGGAAAACATCTGAACTGGAATAGATCTATTGTAAGCCAGTCTGATGTAGGCTTGGATTTAGGAATAGTGTTTGTGGAACTGTAGCCTGTGGTGTTATCCTATATGTTGGCATTGAAATTGACCCCAACCACCTGTTTGTTTTGGAATGCCAGCAACAGTGTCATGTAATCATAGCTTATATGATTCTAGGTCAGACTGATACCTTCAGTCTCAGCTAGGTACTAACAGCAGTCATAATGAGAATGAATTGATGAATCACTGTTACGTGGTTCATTGTTGAGTAACGAGATGCAAGCATTAATTAAATCACAAGCATAAAACACAGCGACAAGCTGAGGTTGAAAATGAGTGATTCTTTAATGTGAGAATGCAAACATTCTTCCTAGTATCAGAGATCTTATCTTCAAGTTCTCCAAAATGTTTGCCCAAAGCCAGTGACAGAAAGTCACCCAAGGAATCCTGCATCACCATCACTTCCATTATCCTTTGCCAGGAATACATACAAGCAAACCACCTGCTTCACATCTTAATCTGTCCCTCTTAACTTCTTTCTTCCTGGTGCTTTGCATTTGCCCATCATAAGATGAAAAACTTTCCTTTATCTCGTAAAGCTGCGATTCTCCTCCTGAATATTTCATTGCTTTCAACATTTCTTTGCTCTGCATTGTCAGACACATTGCCACGAGTTCTCTCAGCAACCACAGAACAGAAGATGATTAATACCAACCTCTGAAAATACTTGGCAATTAATTATAGTTACTGATCTGAGCACGGAAGACACTGGCAGAACAATGCAGAGAAGCTTCTGCGACTCTTTGCTTTGTTTCTTTTTCAGCATCAGTTAGGGGAAGCCTCCAGACCCACACATTCATTCTAAGAACAGAGGGCACATCCATTCTTTCAGACTAACCTAAGCAGCAGTTTATTGGTTATAACCAACCCAGGGCAGCTTGTCAACATAATGAACTCACATAGGTACCTTCAGGATTTTACACAACAGCCACAGGGAGGGAGCATGCTCTGTGTTAGCTGAGAGTAAACTGACATTTCCATGAACATTGTCTCCATTCTGCTTTGGTCATAAGGGAAAATATTTCAAGGAAGGTTGGCTTAAACCGATAGACTTATGACTTACCATCCTGGTCCCTTTATTTAAAAGAAATACATAAAGATACACACTGTATTCTTGATGTGATTAAGCACATCAAGACAGTAAAACCAGTCACCCTTTAAATAGATGCATGCCTTTCAAAATCCTCATATCCTGACTTGCCTTTAACTATTTTTCTCCCCCTCCATGAATACAGCTATTATAGGAAGCACACAAGAACACAATAGCTGGAAATGGTTTCCTTGGGGAAGATTAATCTCACTCTCCTATACATTCTGTCTCTCCAGCTTTCTGTCTAAGTACACTTCTAATTCCCCACAAGCTATAGCAGAATGATTTGGTGCAGTCCTGCTATTTTTGGTTGAAATTAAAGGAAAAGATCTAGGCTGTATTCTTTTTCCAGTTCTTTTCAACGCTGCACTGCTTTTGAAGTTCAGTAACAGCTGCCCAACTAATCAAGTTTTACAAGACTCCCTGCATTTAAGAACTACATTATGCACATGGAACCATATTTACTGTAGCAAAATGACCATCAGAAATCTCTTACTGGTTACACTCTGAAAACAACCACTTTCACTGAGCTCCAGACTCTTTCACCTGCACTCAACTAACACAAACCATGGAGCAGCTGGACACGAAGAAAACAACAGTCTGCATCAACAAGCATTAAAAGATGCCCATTTATTGGTTCCAGTTGCATTGCAGACCACACAGCATTTCAACAGAGCTTCAAACAGTGATGGTCAGAGTGAGGTGCACAGACAAGTATAATTAATATGCCTTTGTAGTTACACAGAGGGATAGAATTACAAAATCCATAACCCTAGCTCAGGTATACGTGCATGTGGAAAAAAAATATACATAAATATACTTTTTGTACTGAAATGTAAGTGTGTCCTTTCATCACCCCCTTGCTAGGGAAAGAAGGGGGTTGGTGCCACCTATGGAAAGCTGTGCACCAACTTGCTGTTCAGTCCCACTTCCTAAAGCAGGCTCCATAAACAACCTGCCCTCTGTGCCCTTTAGGATACAAACTCCCACTGATTGTCCACCCTGGTTCCTTGCAGGATCAAGGCAGCAGATTCTTTGCTTTGCTGCAGACAAACCCTCAGCCTGCTCAGTGGTTGCTGCACCAGGCTCCATGTGCTATTTCAGCATTCCTCATCAGCAGGCTGTTTTCCCTCATCGCTAGCTTTGATCTCTTCCTTATCCTGCAGAGCAGCCTGGGTTTCTACCAGGCAGCATGGTATTTCATTTGGTGTTTGTCCATCATCACCAACCTCAGTCTGTTCTTCAGCTTGCTCCAATTCAGAAGGGTTTTCCTCCATATACTCATGAAGAGGAACCTCTTTATCATGTTCCAACTGGGGATCAGGTGAGGCTTTAGCAGCAAAGTGTGTTTTCTCTTCTCCTGCAGATCTCTGCATACTTGCAATGTCTTCTCTTGTCTCCATGGTCTTCAGAAGCAGCTCTGTCTCCTGCATTGTACACAGAGCAGCTGGGGACTCAGCTGCCTTCTCCACATGCACTTCCTGATGATCCTTTCCCTTACAAGTTTCCTCTGAATCACACAGAACTGTCACATCTTCTTCTGCAGGAATTGACAGCCTGGACTCCACTCCAGCAGGCTGAACCTCACCTTGGGCTTCAGCACACACATGGACTTCAGCCTTCACAGTTGTCTCTGTAAGAATCCTCACTTCTTCATCCCTGCAGCTGAGTTGCTCGTGGGGTACCCAGCCACTAGTAGGATGCTCATCAGCTGGAGCTTTACCCCTCTCTTGTAGATTGCCTCTGGCAGATTGGGCTTCTTGTTTTGGCTGTTCAGCAGGTTCCTGGTTCTTCACCCCCTCTGTACTGGGTTTGGTTTCAGGGTCCTGTCTCTCCTCACTATTGTGTGCATCTCTAGAAGAGGCACAAAGCAGGGCCTCAGTATGTTGTATGTGCAGAGATGCAGCTCCTGTGTCCTTTCTAGCTTGGGCAGCAGATTCACCTTCAGGGGTGTTTAAGGAATCTGACTCTGCAAAAGAAGGCTCGGGGGCTCTGGGGGTCCTTCCTATGCGTGCTGAATAAAAATGGTTCTCTCCAGTCCATGTTGAAGCATCACAGGATGTACCTGCAGTCCTGGATGCCCTTTTCCCCTTGGTCTTACAGAAAATAACTTTCTTAGGGAACACACAGAGCCTCCTGTTCTTGCCAAGAAGACCTCCCATTGCCAGAAGGGAAAGGAACAGCCCAATTAATGCCTGCCTCCTGGAGCTGTAGGATGCACACAGACAGCAGACGAGCAGGAAACTCTCTTGAAGCAGCAGCTTCACACCTGAAAGACATGGATATTTGCTCAGATCCATTTGTGGGCATTAGTTGTCATGTTTTCACATAACATCCTCCAGCTAATGTTATCAGAAGCTACAGAAGATAAATACAGGTGGAGCTGCTGTACAGAAATGATTTTTAAAGAAATAACAGTCTGGGGAGAAAGAAAACAAGCTACCTATCAATCGAACCAGCTCACTCTAAAAAAAATAGTTCCTCCTAAGCTTCTAGAAGCCAAGCAGCCACGCAGGCACTGCTGTTAGTTATCTTTCAGCAGATTGCTGTAGTGCCAGTAGGATTCTATTATATTGCAAACCTGTAGTTAGTTAAGTTGGAGCACACTGAAGTGCCTAAACTAGTAGTAAGGGCAACTATTAGTAGTGGCAGAAACAAGGCAGACAGGAAGAAGAGGGAAAAAAAAAAAGAAAAAAAGCATAGCATGACTTATTCCTTAATATTGAGAGATTAGTCACCTCCAAGAGGCACAAAACAAACCAAGAAAGAAAGCAACACCTCCTAGTGCAAAGTAAATCTTGAGAACTGAATTGCAATCCTTATGCAAGAAAAGAGCAAAAAACTACTTGCACTCAAAGAGACTCTGGCTATGAAAGAGAAGAAAGACCCCATATTAGAAAAGAAATAAACGTAGAGCTCATAGCACTCACTCCATAGTCACTTCCTTACCACTGCAATCCTCCTAATGAGCACCTGGGAGAGGAAGGCACCAGCCTTCTCTTAAATAGGAGGAGGTGGTCACACTCAATTTCTCCCCCGTTTGGCTCTCAGTGTGTTAGTTCCTGCAGGTTCTGAAGTTCCCCCCTTCTTCTTCCTTACTGTTTTCCCCAGGCATTTCATGGCCATTGTAAACAGCATATGGCTGCACATCCTAAGCATGGCTGATATAAGATTTGCTTGGTTATTGTTATTTTGTAATGGTCACTGCCAATTAAAACTAAAGATTAAAACAGCGCAGTCGTGGAAAATGAAAACTGGCCTCTATTTATAACTTTAAGTCTGCAGAAGAACAGGTGCATGGAATGCAGTCAGTGCTTTAACTTACAAATCGCTGAATCACAGAATGGCCTGGGTTGAAAAAGGCCACAATTATCATCCAGTTCCAACCCCCTGCTATGTGCAGGGTCTCCAACCAGCAGCCCAGGCTGCCCAGAGCCACATCCAGCCTGGCCTTGGATGCCTCCAGGGATGGGGCATCCACAGCCTCCTTGGGCAACCTGTTCCAGTGCATCACCACCCTCTGAGTGAAAAAAAAAATGATGTAAGTGAAGCTGCAAGTCTTTATATTATTTTATACTGGGCAGTTAGGAGGGAGAAATTGTCCCCTTACTGCTTTTGTGCCATCTTCAACTGACTGAGACAGGCAATGAGCTATTTTACAGTGGCTACAGATTGTTTTAATGTTTCCAGCCATAGCTGATCACCCTCTGTTGGCATTAACATGACAGTATCACTCGGGTTGTGTTTGTTTACTGGGAGTTGTAAAGTTAAATAGATCACATAGGCAAAAAACAAAAGCAAATATCCAGTAAATGCAAACTAAACCCAGTGACATGGGTGTAAAGATCCTAAACACGAACAGAAGGGTCAGAGTAGCTGGATTCCAGGCTGTTTTTATATATTTTTAATTGAAGCTACTTCTTTTGATGGCAGATCTGGTTCAGCATCCTACACTTTGTCTAGTTATTGTGATTCCGTTGATACAGAAATGCACAGGAGCTTTGGGTGAGGTTACTCCATGCATTCTGCCCACTGAGAGCATGAGGTACAGCATCCATGTCTTGCTGTTTAAACGTGGAACTTTTGAGTTAATATTTTTACTTTATGTGAGAAGAAGGATTACTCCTGTTGTGGATACTCATTTCAGTATCCCATACAAGGGAAGAATGCTCAGTTGTCACCATTTCAACAAGTGGTGGACATCTTTCTGAGAAGGAAAGTATTCTTCCTTACCATCGTATCATTTTGAAATGAGACATCCCAGCCTGACTTCGAAACAATCCTGAAAATTTCTTACATGTGAGACACTACAGGAGATGGCAGTGTAACCTATGGGGAAGGAAAGAAACCCTTATGGTCAGAGCAATCAGGTCTCTCTTGGCTAGATTTCACTTTTGTCCCAAAAGCCTTTTCTGATCTCTGCTACTTGGATGCATTTAAAAGGGCAGTTCTGCAAAAACACAGACGTGATCCTCTGACAAATACAAATAGCCACAGACCTTAAGAAGAGCCTGGCTCAGGTGTCAGCTCAGGGTTGGGTTGAATGACTGAATGCCATGGAATGGTTACAAAGCCATTCAGATGGCACCATCACTTGTAAGGGACGTGCTGCTGTCAGTGCAGAACGCTGATCTTTGTGTTGGGTTTTTTCGAGTTCAAGCTGTTCCTTCTTACTAGAACTGTCTCTTCCTTGCTATGCACATGGCAGGGCCTCTCTGCACATTAACTGTGGCATTTAGATATACTGGATGATCTGCCCAGGGGCATCTCTCATTCATCATTCATGCTGACATTACAACAGAATGACAAGCTCTGTTTGAAGGATTTTCTGTTCAGAGAGCCAGAAGGGCGTTCAGACAGTGAGCTCTGCAGCACCATTTGGATTCCAACGCTTAGCCTTACCCAACAGTTCCCACATTTTGGACAATTTCTGCTTTGCCCTTGTTCCCAGGCTAAGAAGCCACACGCTTAAACCCTCAAACAGTGAGAAAACTTCTCATATAGTGCAGTAACTTCTTATCCCCCCGCTTAACAGAATTAACTTATCAGCCCATAGGCAGGCATGAACGTGATTGAGTTTAATTTCTCTTGGGATTACCTACTCAGCCTCTCTCCTGCCTGAAGTGAAGTTTTATGTTACTGGGGTGTATTTGGGGGGGAGTAGCAGTTATCTCACCCAGTTCCCTGCTGAGCAGCCCTTAGAAACAAGCTTTAGCAGTAAGGACTGCATGACTTTTGGCAGAACAAATCAAGTAAGACAAGCAAGTTGGAGAATTTGAGAAAGAATTTGAGCTTGTAGCAGGCTTTGCAGAAGGCTGCTTTTTTCTTAATGGTTCCCTGCTTTTAGGTCTGAAAAACCTCTTGTTCATCATTGCTACAGAGATTGCCTACCTAAGCAAGAACTGTGGTTTATCAACCTTTTAAGTAATAGAAAAACACTACAGGTGCCTCTCTCTTTGCAGCACATAGAATCTTAAGTAAGGGAGGATGTGTTTGGAAAGCCTGACTTATAGGGTGCTTTGTCAGCTGAAGTGTGGTTGGAAGGAGGGAAACCCAGGTGTTGAAGAAAGCTTATCCTATTCCCAAGTACTTTCTTCAAAGTATGGAGTAGCATCCATCACTTGTCAACTCATTGAGCATATTCAGCTCTCAGCTACATGCAAGTAGAAATAAGATGTCATCAATGTGATGTATTTTCTTTCGGCTTTTTCTCAGCATTATTTAAAGTCCTGATCCTCAGGAACATTAGAAAACATGCTAGAGTTCCAGCACGCCTTCATAGCCCCCCCCCAAATGCACATCAGTTCAGATGGTCATCAGGTTTTGTAAAAGGACTTTGAGAAGACTGTGACCATTTATCCCTGAAGTGTGGACAGAAGAGTTCAGCATAGTTTGCCACTTTTTTTTGTTTTTACTAAGAAGGGCTCAACAATTAAGACAATTCTGCACGTTTTTGCCATGATCTTAAAATATTTTATTGGTATCATGAAGTTAGGAACATTAAAAGTCAGTAGATTTAAACTGCAATACACTGACTTATGCATTCTGATTAAGACTACATTTAAGTTCTGCACAAAGTACAGGTTGTACGAGCACTTCAACTATTACAAGAAATACAAAGAACAAACCAGAGTATTATTTCATTGAGTTCATATGAAGATTTGTTCAATGCTTACAAAATAACAGTCACCAAATGTGTAAGTATGAAAGGAGGTAGTTGAAACATTTGATTTAGAGGTGGCAGTGAGCCACAGAAGGGATTTGGCTGTGCTGGGTTAGAGGAGCTTTGGTCTGTTCTGTTCCCAGACTCTTAAGACTTTGAACTGAAACCTCGTGTCATTCTACCACACTGGGGGATGCAGTGCTCAGCATTCCTTCAGCAAAACCACTGTTGAAGTGAATCACTCCTCTCCCAGTAAAGCAAGATCTCCTGAAAATCAGCTACTAAGAGTACAACCAACCTATAATCCAGGAGAACATCTAGAAGCATCTATTGCACAACTCACTAATCTCTTTAGCAAAGTCACTTTTCAAAGTCCAGGATACACTTGAAAAAAGAAAAAAAAACACTGGGTTCAAAAGGCTGAGATAGTTAATTGCTTCCTAAAGGCACTGAACACCGATCCATCGATCCTCACATCTCTCAAGCTTCAGCATTTTCAACCTGCACGTCTCCTTCACTCCCAGGCACTTCATACAGGATTGGTACCACACTGAGGAGCTCAGCTTCTTCCTCTGCAGGCACCTGGGCACAAGCCAGTTCTTCTGCAAGCTGCAGCACTTGTTGCACAACCCTCTCCTGTGGCTCTGCCTCATCTGCTGGAGTTTTTAGATTGCATTCCCTGCTCTCCTCACTTCTCACTGTATCACTGAGGGCTTCCTGGTCTTCATCACTTAAAACCTCACTCAGTTCAGCAGATTCTGCACAGCTCTGCACCCCTTGTGCAGCTGGCACAGCAGACCGAGTCTCTTGCTGTAAGAAGTCAAGCAGCTGGTTGGCTGACCCTTCTGGAGACAGGGTTTCTTGAGGCACCGCAGAAGTAGAGCGCATCTCTGCCACTACGGCGTCTGCAGGATCCACTCTATTCTCAGTCTCCTCTGTATCCTGCACGTTCATTAGAGAAGCAGCCTTTGCAGGAGATGCGATCTGGACACTCTCAGTGAGTTGAGTTCTTCCTTCAGCAAGGCCAGCCCTGCCTGCCTGCTCCGTGTGCCCAGCAGGAAGGTTGGGCTCAGCCTCTTTTGCCATCTTCTGCACAGCATAGAGTGGCAAGTTCCATCCTGTCAAACTCTCACCAGTCTCCCTGGGAGGCTTGATCTCAAAGTCTTGAGCAGCTGCAGTTTTCCATGCGCTTTCCATGAGCTCGAGAATATTTATTTCTTGGGGAGTTATTCCAGCACGTGGGCCATCCTCACTGCCAGCCCCAGCCTGTTCAGCAGGCTGAACTATATCTGCAGCAAGCTTCAGATCCTGAGCTGTGTGCATAGCCAGCTGGGCCTCATCATAAGGAGCAGGTTTTATTTTCTCTTCTGCATTGCATGCTTTCTCTCTTTCTTGCTGATCCAGAACTTCAGCCTCTTCTTTGGTCTCCCTGTCTGAGAATGCCACCAAGAAATCCACAGAGCTCCAGGCTGCCTTCCATTCCTCAGTCATTCCCACGGGATCTGCAAGACAGCAGGTCTCCATGTTCTCCTCTGCAATATCAGCTGGCAGCTGTTGGTCCTGGCAGAATGACTGAGCTTCAGAGATTTGTTCAGAGGTTTCCAGGGCTGGTGGGGAAGGCTGTGCATCAGTATGCATTGGTGTATCCCCTGAGGGGTGCAGAATTGGCTTGGTCTCACTAGTGTCTTCATTCACTTCCTCCTGCTTCTTGTAATTCCCACAGGTCCCACAGCAGGTCTGCATGCTGAAGTTGCTCCCCATGCTGTTGCTCAACAGAACCTGCAAGAAAAAAAGAAAACTTTTTATCTTAACTGTTTC